GGCAGCGTAATTGGCGCTAGCACGGGGCGGTGCAGAAGGGCATACAGTTGGGTTGATCAGAACTTTCGTCGCGGCTGCTGTACTTCAGCTACGATCTAGACAGCGGTCGCATTTTCGGAGGTGACTGTCGAGATTCGCGGAACTTTTCCAACTACGATGCCAGAAAAGGACCCCACATTCTACTGAACTCCCACCGTCGATACGTTAGAAACAGTGTCCGGGCAAAAGTCGATTCTGAGATTTTGTGCTTGCCCAGGCATGCCTATGCTGAATCTGAAAACAAACACAGGAGAGGCGAAAGAAAACGGCGAAAAAGTTCTCTAACGCAGGAGGGAAAGGAACAGCAGGTGAACGGTGTTTTCCCCACTGCGAAGTCACGCTTCCAGCTTCCGGAGCCCTTCGCGATCCCGATTGCAAGTCACACGTTTCCACTCGGTCAGCGGCGATGTTGGAGCGGCTGGAGGAAGCGAATAGGTCCAAAAGCTGAGAGCATGAATTTACAGCGGGAAAGATTTCACCCACCTGCTGATTTCCCTCCTGTGTAAAAGCATTTTTCTGCCATTTTCGCGCTCTCTTGGATTTCCGGATTCAGCATAGCGAATATGCAAGGGTAAGTGCCAAATTTCAAAATCGATTTTTTGCCTAGACACTGCCTTTGATGCCAAGCTGAAAGATTTGAATGTGAAGATGCAACTCGACACCGGTGCCGAGTTATAGACAATCATCCGCAGGGCGTGGATAGAGTTAGGATCGCCAACTCCAAAGGCCCCCGACTATCGCATTGACAGCTGCAAATGGGTAGAAGATAGCAATATATGAAGTTTACGAAATGCCGTTCATATGCAATGGGTTCAGTAGTAAGGGGTTATTTCATGCCGTTAGGGACCTGCGTTTGCTAGGGATGGACATGCTTTAACTGTTGCCGCTCTTCCGAGATGCCTTCTCTGCTGTTCACTGTGTTGTGGATGCTTCTTCGCCGTTGGATGACCGCCTCGCCTCTAATTCTCAGAGATTTTCAAAGAGGAGCTAGGACGCTTTAGCAAGTTTATGGCGCACCTCACAATGAAGAAGGATGTTACAGTCAACGTGCTGAAGCGGAAGGTACCGTTTGGCGTAGAACCTCTCGTCGACGCTTGGGCGCTTGGGAGTTGGGCCGCGTCGGCTGGAATGCTGTCACACGTCCGTTGTTCGCTGTGGGCCGCTCCGACGTTCTCGTCAAGAAGAGGAGTGGAGCAATGCGCATGTGTGCCAACTTCTCCACGGAGCTGACGATGCATTAAAGACCGACACATACTTCCAAGTCTTCACCAGACTAAATAAAGGAACCGTAATCACCCTGCGTGGCGCGTAACTGCAACTGGAAATGGAGATCGCTTACCATCAACACATCTCTTGGAATTTCCGCTACAACCGACTATCGTTCTGTGAGAGAGTGCGCCTGGGATGTTCCAGTTGCTAATGAGCACCGTCACGGCCTATATCAATAAAGCCTTTGCTCCTTTGCTTCTGAACGGCTTCTGGAGGCTGTGGTCACCGGAAGGGCACGATTGAGAGGAGCACGACGCGAGTGACCTCGAGCCCTGAGAGAATTGTCGCCATTGCCGATACTTCACCGTACCAGGATTGAAGCAGCTCGATTACCTGGGGATTGTTTCGTTTTACTCGCCTTTTGTGCTAAGGATGCGTTCACTTCGCGGACCTCTGAACGCTCTGAAGAAGAAGGACACACCTTTTGTCTGGAATAAGGAGTGCCAGAAAGCCTTCAACCTTTGCGAGATCCTGACCTCAGATCTTCGGCTGTACCACTACGACCCCAAAATTATCACCAATCGTCGTTGCGGCTGACGCCAGTAACTACGGAATCGGTGCCGTGATTTCTCACCTCTACTTAGGCGGATTGGAGAAGGTCGTTTGCGTGGGGATCGCGCATAGACGGATCAGAGAAGAACTATCGCAGATTGAGAATAAGAGATTGGCTCTAATTTTTGCCGCTGAAAATTTGCACTGGTACATCTACGGACGAAGAATTACTCTGCTTATGGATTACCGCCCTCTACTCACTGCATTCGGGAGTAGGAAAGGCCTACACTACGGGACTACACCCTTCAGCAGATTACAACGATGGTCCATGACGCTATTTGCCTACGATTTCGACCTCAAGTACTGCTTTGAGACATCGTTCAGACAGGCCAATCCTCTCTCTCGATTGCTTTCCTGCCGGGATTCGCCGGGCGACGAAGACGTAAACATTGCTACCGTAAAAACTGATGTCACCGTCACTTACGGAGAAGCACTCAGCGAATTGCCGGTCATTCTAGAAGACATACGTTTTGCCATAAAATAATGTCTTGATTGCTTAAACGTCTCCAGACAAGACGTTGGCCATTTGCACTTTCCGGAACGTCGAGCTCGCTGCTTATAACGGTTGCATTTTCTTTGGATCCAGGACCGTGATACTCGCTTCTCCGAGGAAAAAGATTCTGCGATGCTGCACGATGGACATCTTGCTCAGATAATCGCGCGGGGGAGGCGGTCCGCAAACTCGCGATTTTCTGCAGGCGGAGAGTAGAATTTTGGGGCGTGGCTAAACCTTCAGTGAGCGATACTTCCGTGTTCTGCCAGTGGGCAGCAATACAGAATATCTGCGAGCCCTCGTTGAATTTCTTTCAGCGAGCGCTGCAAATTTTCAGCAGGCGCTCGGACTCTTTTTGGGCGGTTTCGAGCGTACGCCGAGCGAAGGTGAAACTATGTGACAGAGGTGCCATCGATAGTTTGATTACCCAAGTTTGAGGCACTTTCTTTCAGCGAAAATTACCTACGAACTGCACGGTCCTTTACAAAGGACGTGCGGCCCGCAATATTTTCGCATATTCTCGCGGAAAGTCCGCGAATGCGGCCGATGCGCCGCAATCAATTCGTGAAAAAACCGCGGTTGTTTTCCAAGCATGTCTCTAAAAGTTTGACGAAAATCTTCCAAGTTTTTGCAAGCGGAAGCAAGAAATCAGCGGACTATTTTTTCGGTGCCCGCTT